AAAAAATTTAAAAAAAACACCAGCCATCTTCCTGGGGAGGTTCCTCAAAAGGGGAAGGTGACTTGATTTGCACACCCCGACCCGGGAGCTGCCCACAGGACCGGGCTGCAGATTTTGAGGGGATTTCTAAAGGAGTCTGTCGCCCGCCCTGCTATCTCGAACGATCTGGGAGATGAAGCAGGGATTCTGTGGGCGGGGAACAAAAGGGCTGCTCACTGTGGTGTTAGATGTTTACGACAGTTTATGAGGACATTCAGGCCCCAGATGGACGTCCAAGACACCCTGGTCATTGATGGCAGCACATGCAAGATCCTTAGAATCAACTCTCTCCTACGTACATACCTCCTGTTTGGCGCCATGTCTTTTTTTAGATGTTTTTATTGATGGGAATCGAACCATGACCTCCAGGTTCATAGGTTGACACTCCCCCACTGAACCACACCAGCCGGGCCCACTTGAATTTTGAGCCGAGGAAATGGATTACTCATTCTTAGACTCCTTCTCCTGTTTAGACCTAAAATTTGCTTGTGTTTTAGGGAAAGTAAAGATCAGCGTAGTAGGCTGTCAGGGGGGAATTTTATTGTTGCAAATCCAAGAAAATGCCTCTATTTTCTTTTGGCCCTTGCATGTAACGCTGTCACATTTTTCTTGCAATAAGGGACTCTGAGTCCGATTTGAAAAATCCTCTTTATTACCCAGAAAAAAAAAAAAGCATTTTTATGGAAACTGTCCGCTTGTGGTCGTCCCTGGAACAGCCTGCTTTGGAGAGGTTCGTGTTCCGCCTCTAACCGGGCCTGTGTGTGCCTCCGCCCCGTGTGGCCTGCGGGCACTTTGTTCCCGAGCCCAGCAGCTGTTGCGAGACTCGGGGACAGTGTGCATTCTTAGCCCGCAGCTGCCAGGAGGGTTTCTAATCTGGTGCTGGCAGGAAATCGTGCCCAAGTGGAAGCCAAGTTAAAAGACGCTTGAAAAGTAAACAGAATGACTTTGGAAGCCACTTCGTATGCCGCCCACCGCTCCTCTGAAGATCGCGGGAAACTTGTTAACCTGACTGCACCCCGAGCCCTCAGGGCAGGGCCCTAATTGTCTTGCAGTCCAGGTCTGTGCCAGGAGGTTCTTGTTGCCACTGCTACTAATTTAAAATTATATATACATATATATATTGATTTTAGAGAGGGAGAGAGAGATAGAAACATCAATGATGAGAGAGAATCATGGATCGGCTGCCTCCTGCACCCTCCACGCTGGGGATGGAGCCCGCAACCCAGGCATGTGCCCTGACCGGGAATCGAACCGTGACCTCCTGGTTCATAGGTTAACGCTCAACCACTGAGCCATGCGAGCCAAGGCTGCTATTGATTTTTTAGTGATTGATGTTGCTGCAAATCGGTTCGACTGGCTTAGTTACTAACTTAACACTGCTGTTCCTCCGGGGTAATGCGTGGTTAGGGGTGAGGGGTCCCTCCCCGTCTCCCCTTTCTGCTACACCACACCACCCACCTCTGCTCCAAAGTACGACATCTGAGGAGGGTGGACACACGATTTATTCACCCATTTTGCAGGCAGGCTGATTTCTGTTGTGTAAGTGCGTCCTGATTTAGTTCATGTTCCCCACGATACAAAAGGTTTTCAGGTTTCTTTTCAAACTGACGGCAAAAGGTCCTCAGGTTGGTGCACCCAGTAAAAGGTGTGGGTCTACGAAAGAGGACATTTTACTAAAACCTTGTCCTTGGGCCTCCAATCATTTCTTGCACCACATTGTTTGATGCCCAAGGAGCTCCAGCCTCTTAGACCCCCTCAGCACGCATGAGAGGCTGCACGTGTTCCCCGTGAAGAGTGTGCCCGGCTGAGCCGCACGTGTTCCCCCGTGAGGAGTGTGCCCATGATGATCTGCAGGTGTTCCCCGTGGACCGTGTGCCCGTGCCGAGCCGCACGTGTTCCCCGTTAAGTATGTGCCCGTGCCGAGCCACACGTGTTCCCCATGGAGTACGTGCCCGTGCTGATCCGCACGTGTTCCCCGTGGAGTACGTGCCCGTGCTGATCCGCACGTGTTCCCCGTGGAGTACGTGCCCGTGCTGATCCGCACGTGTTCCCCGTGGAGCGTGTGCCACCGTGCCGAGCCGCACGTGTTCCACACGTGTGCCACCGTGCCGAGCCGCACGTGTTCCACACGTGTTCCCCAGGAGCGTGTGCCCGTGCTGAGCCGCACGTGTTCCCCAGGAGCGTGTGCCCGTGCTGAGCCGCACGTGTTCCCCGTGGAGTACGTGCCCGTATGATGTTATTGCAAATGGGTTTGATTGCACGTGTTCCCCGTGGAGCGTGTGCCCGTGCTGAGCCGCACGTGGTCTCTGGAGCGTGTGCCCCTGTGAGATGTTACTGCAAATGGGTTTGCACATGTCCCCGTGGCGCGAGTGCCCCTGAGCCCGCGCTGAGCCGCACGTTCTCTTGCAGACCTTCACGGCCTGGTGCAACTCGCACCTGCGGAAAGCCGGCACCCAGATCGAGAACATCGAGGAGGACTTCAGGAACGGCCTGAAGCTCATGCTGCTGCTGGAAGTCATCTCAGGTCTGTGGGTGCCTCACCCCGCGCAGCGCATGTGCGTGCGTCTACGTTCGCGTGCGTCTGCGTACGTGCGTCTGCGTAAGCGTGCGTGTGCGTGAGCGTATGTCTACGTCTGCATGCGTGAGCGTGCGTGTGCGTGCGTCTGCGTACGTGCGTCTGCGTCTGCGTGAGTCTGCGTGTGCGTGAGCGTATGTCTACGTCTGCGTGCATCTGCGTGAGCGTGCGTCTGCGTGAGCGTGCGTGTGCGTGTACGTGCGTCTGCATACGTGCGTGTGCGTGAGCGTGAGTCTGCGTGTGCGTGAGCGTATGTCTACGTCTGCGTGCATCTGCGTGAGCGTGCGTCTGCGTGAGAGCAGGCGTGGCCCAGGCCTAGAGGCTGCAGCACACATTCCCTGGGAACCCGCTGGGCAAGAACGCGGAGCTGTTGGGAAGGAAAGCCTCTGGAGGGGCAGTCGGCCGGGGTTGTTCTACGTAAAAAGGGAGTGTGTTCTGTTCACAATTGACACGTTAGGGTAGTGCTTATATCACCCCCCTCGTAACAAAGTAGAAGGAAAAATGACGTATATGGCGGCCCCCATGCTGCCCTCTCCACTTTTTTAAAAAATATATTTGTATTGATTACAGAGAGGAAGAGAGAGAGAGAGAAACATCAATGATGGGCTGCCTCCTGCACACCCCACACTGGGGATGGAGCCCACAACCCAGGCCCGTGCCCCGACCAGGAATGAACCCTGATCTCCTGGGTCAGAGGTCGAGGCTCACCCACTGAGCCACCCGCCAGGCGGAATGCTGGCATTTTGATTCTGCAGCGGGGCTGCTTTCTCTGTCTGCACTGACCGGCTTTCATCCGACAGGGGAAAGGCTGCCCAAGCCCGACCGGGGAAAAATGCGCTTCCACAAAATCGCCAACGTGAACAAAGCCTTGGATTACATCGCCAGCAAAGGCGTGAAGCTGGTGTCCATCGGGGCGGAAGGTGAGCGGCCGCGGGGGCCTCGCGGGGGCTGTGGGCCTGCGCTGGACGCCCGCGTGGGTCAGGCTCCCCGCCAGGCTCGGAGCACAGAGAGGAGAAGAGACGCTGCCCTGAGTGGCGGGCCAGGCACTAGGGCAGCGGTTCTCAACCTGGGGGTCGAACGACCCTTTCACAGGGGTCGCCTAAGACCATCGGAAGACACATGTATAATTACATATTGTTTTTGTGATTAATCACTATGCTTTAATGATGTTCAATTTGTCACCATGAAAATACATCCTGCATATCAGATATTTACATGACGATTCATAACAGTAGCAACATTACAGTTATGAAGTAGCCACGAAAATAATTTTATGGTTGGGGGTCACCATAACATGAGGGACTGTATTAAAGGGTCGAGGCGTCAGGAAGGTTGAGAACCACTGCCCTAAGGCTTTCTGTAAAGAGAATAGAGGCAAATGTAATGCCATCCTCTTCAGAGTACAGGAGTGAGAAAACGTATCATCCCATCGACGCTGGGTGAGAACCAATCAATAGGAAGGAAGGAGGAGAAAGGGATCCCTGTGAGTGAGGCAGGAGCCGAGACACACCTGCGGGTCATGATGCACACCTGCCCCATGAACCTGCCCCATGATGCACACCTGCCCCATGAACCTGCCAGCCGGCGGCTGGAGGCAGGACCAGGCTGACCATGAGCCTGTGTTCTCTGTACGTCACCACAGTGGTCCCCCCATGTCCACCGTTTCACTTTCCACCGTCAACCATGGTCTGAAAATACCAAATGGAAAATTCCAGAAATAAACAACATATCAGTTTTATTTTCTTTAAATATATTTGTATTGATTTCAGAGAGGAAGGGAGAGGGAGATAGAAACATCAATGATGAGAGAGAATCATAGACTGGCTGCCTCCTGCACGCCCCACACTGGGGATGGAGCCCACAACTGGGGCATGTGCCCTGACCGGGAATGGAACCTTGACCTCCTGGTTTGTAGGTTGACGCTCAACCACTGAGCCACGCCAGCTGGGCAACAATATATACATTTTAAAGTATACAGCGTTCTGAGCAGTGTGGTGTGTCTTGCTCTGTCCCACTCCATTCTGGGATGGGAATCATCCTTTTGTCCCTCATCTTCACGCTGTCTGTGCTCCCCACCTGTCAGTCACTTAACCCAGTGGTTCTCGGGTCCACTTGGGTTCGAGTCACCCTTAGTCATGGCCCAGAAGTGTGAGCGTAGTGGCGCCGGCAATTCCGATGCGCCAAAGAGAAAGTGCATCCCTTACGTGAAAAGGGTGGGATATATAGGGGTGAGCACCGTCCTCGGTTTCAGGCATCCACTGGGTCCTTAGAATGTACCCCCCGAGGAAAAAGGGGCGCAAGTATATTTAGAACTTTAACTCATCTCGTCTTTAAACTTTGGAAACTCATGCATTGTATTTAGTGATTATGCATAGGTAAGCCTTGTGCTTGGTATTAACTCAGAATTCATTTAAACAGGAGACATTTGGTTAAGAATTTTTAACTAGACACACCTCGACACCTATGGAAATATAAGCTGGTCTTTCCATATGTATTTTTTCCAGTAGCTCTGAAGCCAAGACGTAGGGGAAGCATAACTTACAGGAACACTGCAGGTTCTGGTTGTGTTATCTTTAACACTAGTCTGTTGTTGGCTTTTCTTTCCTCTAAAGAAATTGTGGACGGCAACGTGAAGATGACGCTGGGCATGATCTGGACCATCATCCTCCGCTTTGCCATTCAGGACATTTCAGTTGAAGGTAAAGACGTGGTTAAGATCGGATTGTATTAAGAGACTCCGAGCACTTTGTAAGCGGAGCTGACAAGTTAAAGTTTGAATCTGGTGGTATAAAATCGAACAGTCACCTACGTGATGGAAGGAAGGACCCTGGGACCCTTTGGGGTACGGGCGGACGCTACAACCAACTGAGCCACACTGGCCAGGCTGCAACGGAATTCTCTAAGGAGCCAGGCCCCTTTAACAGAATGGTGGGCCTCTCCTTAGATGTAGGCGTGAGATTAATATATCTGTTGGTGAGGGCCACCCAGATGGAAGTCCATGGGGTTCCTGGGTGCATTATATGGTTTTTCATGGCGGAATGACAAACGACACTGCCTACTTCTAACATGGTTTTTGCACCCATGATCGGGGTTTCGTGAGTGGCTATCTGTGTGCCAGGTGGCGGTGTTTTGGGTTCCACCTGCACCTGCGGGGGGTGGCGTGTCCACAGGGGCAGACATACTTGGCACAGGCTGTTGACCTTTGCTGAACACGTGGACTTGGAGGGAGTCTGCTTCGATTAAACAAGGAGAGAACTGCGCTCCCCATTCAGACACAAACAGAACAGAATCAGGGAAACTAATTGGCCTGCACAACCAACTTCCGTAGCAGTTACAAGGTTCTATCGATCTGCTTAACGTGTTTACTTTCCTAACCTAATTTTCACTTAAGCTATAAAAACATAGTTTCATTTCCTCATGATGCACTTTTTCTTATTCACTACATTGGGCAGGACCCAAAGGCAAGCAGCTATAGAGAGCAGCACAGCTGGGTACGGAGTTGCACATTTCAACATCTGGACCAGCTAATCCTATATCATAAAAGGCTAATGTGCAAATCGACCGAACTGTGGAACAACCGGCCACTATGATGAGCACTGGCCACCAGGGGGCAGATGCTCAACATAGGAGCTGCCCCCTCGTGGTCAATGTGCTTTCACAGGGGGCGCGTCGCTCAGCCAGAAGCCCTGAGCTGGGCTCATGGTTGGTGAGTGCAGTGGTGGTGGTGGGAGCCTCTCCCACCTCCGCAGCAGTCAGACATCCCCCAAGGGCTCCTGGACTGCAAGAGGGTGCAGGCTGGGCTGAGGGACCCTCCCGAGTGCACGAATTTCATGCACCGGGCCTCTAGTATACTAATAAGGTCTTAGAACTTCCTCTTGCTCCTTAACAAGAATTTGCTAGACAAGAGACACGAGCAGGAATCATTCAAATTGTTCTTCCAGCACAGGAGACTTGGGGACTGTTTTATTTTACCTGGGTTTTAGGTCAAAGAAAAATCTGAACTATTTATCACAATTGAGATAAATAATTACAGAATACTTACTGTGATTTGAAAAAAAAAAAAATCAACTTTAAGCCCTTGCTAAAATGGAAGGCCAGTGTTAGGTAAGAGTCCACATGTTTACAGGGACTTTCTAAGGCTTAACAGCGGTTCTCAACCTGTGGGTCGCGACCCCTTTGGGGGTCGACCGACCCTTTCACAGGGGTCGCCTAAGACCATCGGAAAACACATATATAATTACATATTGTTTTTGTGATTCATCACTATGCTTTAATGATGTTCAATTTGTAACAATGAAATTGGGGGTCACCGCAACATGAGGAACTGTATTAAAGGGTCGCGGCATTAGGAAGGTTGAGAACCACTGGCTTGGAATCTAAGTTGTTAAAACGTGAGCGCAGGCAGAATCCCAGGTCATGTAAGTGGCTCGGAGGAGCCGTTTGGATCCGCCAGAAGCAAGTGCCAGGCGACATTAGACGCTGTCTAGTACCAGACCGAGTGGCTTATACGAC